AAACCTTGGCTTCCCTTGAGCCAGAAATGCAGCCTTTGTCTAGGATAAGAATGAAGTTTCTCAAGACTGCTCTGAGGTCTGTGTTGCCACGTGTCAGCATTACTGATGAAGGGCAGTCTCTTCTTCTGACTAAGACAGTTTGCTGTTACTCAAAAGTAGCAGTATTCAATCTCTGTTTCTTAGTTATGTTGAAGTAGTGATGGAGTCATGCAGGTCATTGTGACATTTCATTTTTCTTAACCCTATATTGATGGCCAAATTTAGGATAGGAAGGTATTTTTCCTTAGGGATGTATCAGCAAGGAATCTTAGGAGATTTTTCTCCTTCCTCCAGGAGCACTGATCAGAGACCATCCATTAAAATCAGATGGAGACATCCCATGAGATTAATTAGCTACTGCAGAATTTAGGGGGACCCTAATCCTTCCTGTCTTTTTTATTATATTGCCAAATGGCAGGAGAACATCCCGCAAGGCCTTACCATATTCCAGATTGGAACAGGGAAATTTTATTCTGTCATGTAGAAACATGAACAGAGGTGAAATGAACTGTAAAGATACGTGCATTTATTGCACACAAGTGGAAACAAGAGGAGCCCAGGGCATCTCTGATTGATTGATTTCAGTCAGAGCAATATACTGCATGTATGTATGCTGTTCAGTGTAGAGGTTTTATATCCCCTTTTGTGCACTTCTTTGCCTGAGAGACTCTTCTTTATATTTCCAGTGTGTTTATTTCTCTGTGTAAATAATAGTTTTTTATTTTCTAACAGAGATAATGTGAATGTACAAAGTCAGCGTTGAGACAGTACAAAGTGACTGCTGGCTATGTTACATAGGTCTCACACTTTCTTCATATATTTTGACTTAGAAAATGGATTAATAGTAATGTAAATATGTTGAAGTGGTCTGGATCCAAGCTTCCTATACACAGTCAATTGACAATGGGTTTTGACCAATGACTTCTTCACAAAGAAAGAGATCCTTACTGGAAGGGACAGAGAAATTGTGTGGACTGGAGATGGATTTTTGTCTTGGAGTCATCCCTATTGGAAGGGGAAGAACCTGACTTGATTAGGGTCAGCTCTGGCCAGCATATGCAGTCCATGATTTGCATTGCTGCCGTTTGCCTGTGACATGAAGTTGATTTGTGAGAACAACTTTTTGAAAGCCACCAGGAAGAAAGAGGATCCTGATATTTGTAGCACTGGTAATTTCTGCTTGATAGCTCTCATCAAGGATGAAAAGACTGTTGGGAATATGGAAGGAAATAAAGACTTCATATGCTTCAGAACTGATATGCCGTGAATGTCTTTACAATACTTTATCCTATGCTGCTGATTAGGGGCATTACCTGATGATAAGGATAGATCCAGGGGTATTTTTTGACAATGGACACAATCAGCTTTGTCATGGATCTGTAATATATGAAAAACAAACAAGGGGCTAGAGGCCAGGCATCTTAATAACAATGTAAAAAAGCCTTATTTTAAAGATGTATTTGTTCCTACTACTGTTGTTACCTCTATATTTTTATTTCTCATCAGTGTTGTGAAGCCCACTAGTCACTAGATCCTGTGATTTGATAACATTGTGGCAACTTCTGCTAAGGTTTGTGGGTTTGATTTTCAATTACATGTTTTGACCAACTGTACATTTCAAATGCCTTGTGTATATAGCTCAGCAATAAGGCAAAGTCTGGTGCTGCCCAGCCACATTGTTCCCTGCATACTGAACTTAATTGCTTGTGCTTTCTCATAGCAATGGAAGATGACCTAGATCAGTTAAGAACTGGAAATGTGCCCTGACATTTTTAATGATCCAGCTTAAAGAAAGTGCACTGGAAAGTGAGTGAAGAAAGCTGGTTGTATTTTCTTTTGATGTTTAAAATAAGCCATTGCTATTCAGATTTTTTAAAAGATAATTCTAAATGCTCAATTTAAACACAAGGAACAGACTTCCAAATGCAGGCATGCCCTTCCCCTCAAATGAGTAACCCTCCTGTATTTCTTACATACCCGTTTTTGTGGGTATTTGCCACATTCAGGCCTGCAGACCAACGTCTGCATGTAGGGCGGAAGTGGAGATGATGTTTTTCATAATCACATTTTGAAAGACTTGTTCTGGATGCACAAAAGAGACTGAAGCTGGATTGCAGGGCTTGCTCAGAAACTTTGCCAGATGGACCCGAAGACATTATGAAATCCACACTTCCATACGTGTCTTTGTTGAAACCTACTTCCTTTCAGGGCTTAGGAGTCTGTGGAGTGCTGGGGAAAAAAAGAAGAGGTTTTGGGGTCTGTCTTCTGACATGTCAGTGCCTATGAAGGCTCTTCCCATGTATTAGTGCTGGTGCCTTAGCCCTAAAAATGAACAGAAATGTTTGTATATGGTTTTGGATGCAGCAGGTTTTTTTCTCAAGAAGTGAATTTCAAAGAGGTAAAAAGAAAATATTTCATGGTGCAGATTACTCAGGAGAGTTTTACATATAGTACCCTTCATATAGATGTGGTTGTTTTGTAATATTCTCTGTGTCTTTCTTTGCATTTTGACCTTGCAACAGAATTAAGATAAAATATAGTAACACAGGCCAATTTTATACCATGCCATAGTATTTTAACCAAATTATAGTGAAATAAAAACACACAATTACATTATTCAACAATTAAGACAAATATGTATTCATGACTCAGCCTCACTTTAGAGTATGTGGGAAAAAGAGTTGCTACGAAAATGTAAGAGTTTGAATTCTAGCAACTCTTGCCCTGATTCTCCTTCTGAAGACAAAGCTTATATATGATCAGAAAGGTGTGATGGCAACATCTGTTCTTTTCCTCTTGCTTTTGCATGAAATTACTATAAAAAAATCTAGGGCAACTACTAAGCACATTTGTGCCTCATTTAGATAGAGCACAGCCTGAGCCTTCCCAATGGCCTGCTGAGTAGATAACCTCAGACTTTTTGCATGAGATGCAGTAAAATATAATTGTCCTCAAATACGTTCCCACTGAGTTAGGAAAATGCCAAACCATAATTGCATCTAACTCAAAGCATTTGATGTATAAAATAATAAGATTGTTTTACAAGTGGCTCTTGCCATGCTAAATTTCACATTGAATTTTAGTGGTCAGTGTAATAACTGAGTTCAAAGACAGACTTCTCAAATGTTCCACATTTTAGTTGTCTTTTGAAAACAATTGTATCACAGTTTTGGAGCCAAAGGTCTTTAGCCATAACTAACATAGTACTTTTCTCTGACTGCCTTTCTGCTTTTTTTCTATACGTGTGGCATTTGTACGTAGGAGATGCCTTCTGAATGATCTCTAATTTAAAACTACGTGTTGTAAATACTAGGGATAACTCGCATATATATTTTATTTTGATAAGTGTTTTGTAACATTTTATCTTCCCTACATTGCTTTGTGCATCTTACCATCTGTGTGCTGTTACACATTTTGTATATGAAGTGTCCTGGCTACGGAGCAGAGGAATTGGCTGTTGATGGCTCAAGTACAATGTATAGGAGTGCAGTCGCTTGATGTGCATTTGTTCTGAAGAAATTGCATTCCAAGGTTTATTTACTCTTCAAACATTGTTTGTCAAATGAATCTATTTTCTAGAAATAAGTAATAAACTTATTACTTATTACATTCTGGAAATGTAATAAACTTACATTCCTATTATTTTTCTCTTATTGTATATGTTTGAATTAAATAATGTACAAAGCTGATGTTTCTCATCTCTGTCTTATAAAACTTTATTGTGCAGTTTTAAAATTGTTGTGGGTTTTTATTGTCTACAAAATTTTCTCTGTGATGCAAAAATACATCAACTGTCATATTTCTTTTAGTATTTGAAAGAAAAAAGTCACATCCCCCTCTGTTGTTTTCCCAATAATGGCTACAGTACTTCCCAGCACAAGTTCATTATAACAACTACTAAGACTGATTCTGGGATTTAATTTTTTCATCATTCAAGCAAAGTCCATCCTTCTTGTTGTTTCAGACATATGCATTTGTGATCACTGTGCTTTATCTTGTCCTGGCAGAGGGCTCCCACAGTTCCCCTTGGAATAAATGCAAATGCAGCTTCTGTATTAATAAAGCTCCTGCTAACAGAGGATGGTGACTTATGTACTACAGTGCAGGTAAGAAGGATTAAATTTTATTTTCTTTGGAATGAAAGCAAAACCTTTTGAAAGGGTTTACCCAGAAGGTGTGTTCCATAAATGTGTGTGAGCAGGCTTACCTGCCTGCTTGTTGGGCAACCTGCTGGGGATTCAGCTTACTTCTCTGATTTGGGGAAGTCTTTTGTTTCTCATTATTCTGACAGGGCAGAGGACCACATCTGAAAGGCATACCTGTGTCCTTCCTGCTGCAGGCTGTGTCAAAAATTATGTTTTGCTGAGACACATTAGCTTTAACAAAATAAAAAACTTTGCTGAAATCTTTTCATCAGAAATGTTTTGGTGAATTCAAATGCTGGGAGAATAGTTGGGTTTGTCAATTTATTATTCTTATTTTAATATTCATGCGCCTACATTTCTTGGTTCACTTCAAAGCTGAGAGTTTCTCAGGCCTCCCAAATGCTGCTCTTGCAGCGGGATGTGCGCTGAGTGCTCCAACATCAAAGTGAGAGGCACAGTCTGAGCACTTAGTGCAGTAGATCGGATGACAGAAAAACATACTTTGAGCAAACACTTGAGTAGGATGTTGCAATCAATAGGCTTTGTAAGGACTCTGTGGTTCACCTGGCCATGGTGAACTCATTTGTGCATTTTATTTCATGCTTTGGCAGTCAGGCTAAATCCTGTGGATCGTTCTATACTATCAGTTCTACTATCAGTTACTCTAAAGTTCTTAAAGAGCTGATCTATCAAGTGGTGCTTTTAGTTTACACAGAAATAGCACTGCTTGTCTTGAATTTTTTTGGTTGTTTTTTTGGTGGGTGTTGTTTTTGTTGTTGTTTGTTTTTTGAGGTTTTTTTTAAGGCTACATGATGATCTGTGCTTTGTAACAAGAAACAAGAACTCAAGCCTTTTTATGTTTCAGTACCAAAGGAGAAATGAAAAAGTCAGCAATGGAAAACTGCACACCTCATGGATTTTAAGAAAAGCACACAAATACTCCTTACACAAGTGTATTTCTAAGTGCTTTACAAAATTGAGTTACTCTAATAAGCTAGAGGACATGTCATTATGAGAATACGTCAGAAGTGTATAAGCTGTCAGCACATCACATTTTTTGTTAATCTTATATCTGTGTTAGATTTAGTTTACTGCAGTCAGAACTGACTTCTGGTTGTCCAGATGAGTGCCTAGGGCTGAGAACTCACACACTGCCACTATAAGGTATTCAGGCTCTGGTTTTAAAAAACAGACTTGTGTGCAAGTGTGTATGTGTTTGTATATGTATGTATTTACACCCACATCCCCTTTATAGACTCCATATGGCATCCCCATACGGACCCTCCCTCTCTTTACATTACATTTCTGTTGTGCATCGGGGAGGGGGGGGTCTGATGACTGAATGACACCTGGGCAAGGTTTTACCTGAGTCATTTTAATGTTCCAAGCATTCAGAGTGGGCCACCTGCAGTGACAGACAAACCACTCTGCAGGCAAGTGAAGGCTGGGAGGTATCCATCAGAGTCACTGGAGTCTGGTGTCAGTGAAGTTCAGAAGGGCTAACCTGAGAGGGCAGAGGTCAGCAGCAGAGGAAGGAGTACCACTGCCCTTCAAGGGCTGAGTTTCTCTCAGAAGAGAAACATAAGATGATGTAGGATTGACTGACTGCTTCTCCTGGTGTTTTTTGGAAAGCTGAAACTGCTTAAGAGGAAAGGAGTACAGTTACTCCTCCAATACAGAGGAAAGGAATCCCTGAGGTACACCTGAGGGACTTTGCTGGCAGAACGTGGCAGCTGCCAAATTCCTCGTTATTTCTGGCACATAGGAAATAAGAAGCCAGAAGGCCCAATATATACACTGAAGTGAATTGTCAGTAGGCAGATTCACCAGGCACAGTTAACCTTGGCCACTTCCAATAAGCATACCCCAGACTAGAGATACTGTCTCACTGAAAAAGTGTCTAGAAGGTGCTCTGCTAATAAGATCAGGTATCTTACTAACCATCCAGCTTGTGGTCATTACTGCCATATTCATCTCCTAAAGAAGGTAATGAGCACAGCAATCAATCTAAAAAAACCCCTGCATCTCCTTCCATTCACGTGCAATGTTTTTTAAGAGCAAATGATCAATTTTTGCTACAGTGTAATTATTTTCAAGGCATTACTGTGTGGTCAGACGAGACACATCAGAAACCAGCTGGGGATCACATTTGCCTTTAAGGCCATTCCTACAAGCAGTTTTCTTGGTTCTCTGCTAAAAATGCATCAAACCAGACTAACTGCAGAGTCCATCGAGGTAGCCCAACTAATAAATGATGTCATTTTCAACTCAGGATGGAACAGACAGACTGTGACTGTTGTCACTGTAAAATTCACAGCTTTGTTTGGGTCACTGTAAAGATTGTGCTGCCCTGGGAGGCCCAGGGCACGTCACTGCTGGTACCATGTCACCAGGAACCTCCAGTGCTCTTCCACCAGAGCCACTGGCTTTCCCAGGACCCTGCAGACAGAAAGGTTTGTCAAGAAATCCAGGTTTTCTGCATGGCAGGACAGACCACTGAGGGCACAGCACTAAGCTGGAAAGGTTGGATATTTTTTATATCAAACTTTTACGTAGAGAAAGGAGGCTGAGACTAAGCAACCTTTGAAAATTTCAGACAGTGCTTAATTGGTAAAAAGAAAGGGATTGTTTGTCATGGCTCTCGTTTCTGCTTCTCAATTAGCATATCAGCGAGGTTAATTTGGCTACAGAAGTTCATTCTAGTAGAGCAGCTAATTGCTGCACATGGTCGTTCCTTTTCCTCAGAGCACGGTAGACACGGTGTCCCAAATACAAACCAGGGCACCACAACGCTTGCAGTATTTTCATATTGCCACAGGGTGGTGGTGAAGACCTTACCGAAAATTTTGTTGCTCGGCGGTACTGAGGTTACGTCCTTCGGTATGTGCTGACCACACGTGTCAAGTCTGCAGTGTGGGAACACCCTCAGACACACTGTTTTCAGCCACTTGCACCAACGAGGGTGAATTAAGGTCACTTCCTATAACACATTAACTCCTGTGACTTTTGGTTTTATCCTTCAGTGTTCATGACCAGCATTTAAGGAGTTGATGATAAGCTCAGTTGCTTTACTTCCACAAGTCCTTAGCAGCAGTTGCAGTAGTTTCAAGAAGACACAGTTAAGTTTTGAGTTATAGCTTTTAAAAATTTAGTTACCGATGGTACATAATTTACTATAGCAGAAGCTTTCACTGTTGCTTGAATGACTAATTGGGGAGCCTCCTAATTACATTTGAAAAGCTCTCTTTGTCATTCAATTTACTTTAATTCAACCTTGTTATTTCTTTTCCATAACCAGCTAATATTTGTAATGCTATTTTCTCAGCATTTTTGGTTTTAATTTCTATAGTCTTTTTCTCAAATTCCATTTTAAATTACTTAATACAGAAACTATTACATGTTTTACAGCACAATAGTGTTGTGAGACATGCCTTCCATCCTACAAACCAACCAACCTGTTAAAGGTTAACATTTTTGTGACATATTTGTGGAATGGAACAGGCAAATCAAAGCCTTATTAATCCATTTTAACAATTTTCTTTCATGTAACAGTGGTAAAAGCCAAAACACAGAGCATTTCAGCTTAATATTGAAATAAATAGGAAAATTCCACTTTAAAACTGTGTTTTAATTATTGAACAGCTCTCAGAATTAAATCACTGACCTTTGAGAATTTAGTGACCAAACAAGTACTTGTCCTCAAGGCACATATCTGAGCGTGCACTCCTTTATGTGAAGCTTTTCCACTCTGGTTAAAGATGCCCAAGAACACTGCAAGTACCAAGTGAATGAGGTAAGAACAAGGATCCTATATATGCAGTGATGATATTAATGTCAGCTTGTGGAGTGGGTTGCATGTATGGGGACCAGACTGTCTATTCTCTTGGCAAGAAATGCTCCATTAGACAACTGAGAGTGGGGTTTTCTGTAAGTGGACAAAGACTGTCAGACTTCTCCATGGGGTGCATCACATCCTAACAGCGTCACACACAGCACTTCCTTTTGCACTCTTCTGGAGTCTTTTGACTAAGGCAGAAAAAAATTGTATAGCTCAGAAGTAGCGAATGTTTTATCGATTTTCAGCTTTCTTTGGTGTCAACCAGCAGCAGCAGACAAGATGGGATTTTGCTGGCTGGTGATTAAACATCTCTCTCTAGACCATTGGCAAAGGCCATAAATCAGATTTCTGGTAATTGTTACAAAATAGGGAACTTTTCTGAACACAGAATAAAAAGATTAAGGAACATGTCCCAAAATTGGGGTCTTCCTACATAAATTACTTTAAAAGAATATTTAGATTGAATATTGCTAGCAGGCTGTAATTATTCTTCTTGAAGGATGTAGGCAGTCTTCTGCATGGCTCTGAAAAGCAGCAATGGCCATGAAATAGCTCCTCTCTGGGCACTGTTCTGGATAGTGGAGTTTGCAAAGTGATTTCTGAACAAGAGGAATGTGTATATGTTAAGTAAGCAAAACTACAGCTCAAAGAAACAGGACACTGTATGAATCCTTGTGCATGAATGTGGGATCACAGGTCCTACCTGAATCATCTTGCAAGACTTGAAATTTTGAGGCTCAGAACAGCAAAAACATTATTATTGTAGTATTATATAGTATATAAACCTTGTAGACTTGCCAGGCATTGGGGTTTCATGGTTTTGGTTGGAGTAAGACCAGTCACTGGAAGTTCTTTGTCTATAGCTGCTGCAACTGCATATTCCTTGCTGCAATTGGTGGTGGGAAAAAGAAATTAAAAATGAACACTTTTGCCTGAATTGCCTTTTTATTATGACCTTGAAATTTGGTTTAAGTTCAGTCAAATCCATGAAATCTAGGCTTTGTCAATGCACTTATGGTTTAAATAGAACAATGTAAAACTTTATGGGATGCACTGAGCTGTTGTTTTCTCGTTTGCTGGATAGATTCTGAGGACATCAAGGATAGCTCTAAACCTCCCCAGACCTTTTGTGACTTTTAGCTGCTCACCATCTACCCACATCAAAATTTCCCTTTGCAGAGCCATTAATTTCCACAAGTCAAGCTGTGTAAGAAAATACAAAACAGAATATGATGCTCCAAATCACAGGGAATTAAGGAATATTTTAAATTGTGTTAAGTTAATGTTTTAAATGTATAATGATGCTATGGCTGATATTCCCATAAAATGATTCTTTAAAATAGCACTCAGTAGTCTTCAGGACTGTAATTAATGCTATATAGAGACTTATGAATAAAACAAAAGAATAGACATGGTGAAAACCCATTTCCTTATTTTCTTTCCTCCACCACCCTGCCCCCTTCCAAGGCAGACTTAGGCAGATGTACTTTTGCTTTCTTAAGTCTTTCAGCCAAAATCATATAACCTATCTAAAGAATGAAAAGCTGGATTGTACTGCTGGCTATTGTAGTCAGCACAGCAGAAACAGAAGAACAGGCTGTCTGTACCCAAGGGTATCCTGGCATCCCTGGCAATCCTGGGCACAATGGCACACCTGGCCGTGATGGACGCGACGGTCCAAAAGGCGACAAGGGAGATACAGGTACTCCATTCAGAATAAATGATTTAATGCATCAAATGCAATGCCATTCATTCCCAAATTTGTCTGTAGTCACTCTGCATGAATGGGATTATTCTGCCTAGTCTTCAGAAAACATTTCAGACATTTGTCATTTACTTGTTTGAAGAAGGAAATATAAAGAAAGGCTTAACAACAAAAGCAAGATAGCTAATACTATGGAGATGTCATGTCCACGGGATAAAAACAAAAGAAAAAAGGCTTTATCTTGTGTTGTGGGAATATTTTCATGTCTTTTTAAGCCTATATACCTTCTCATACTCTTTTAAGATAGCAACTATATTTCTATAAAAGCTTCAAGCCCAGTAAAGAAAAAAACAACTGCAGGTTCAAGCTAGTGGAAATGTCTGTATTTAACAGACTGGGTTGCTAAGATAATTAATCACCTGCTCCACCAGAAAAGTATATGCATCCTCAAACAGTGTGTGCTGCAGAATCAGTGTTGAAGGTGTAGCTGATGTGCAGTATACTAGCATGGCTATGCTGGTATAGGCAAGATCTACCAGATCCTTTTCCTAACACCTGAATCTCTCTTAGAGACCACAGCTGTTTGTGTGGCTATAGAGTAAACTAGAACAGCTGAAAAATAACCAGCACTTACAATTTGGGCAATGAAGACTTTTCACTGCTTATGGCCTTCCCTGAACCACCAAAAGACAAGTCCACCTACTTAGGTATTTACCCCAGTGGTTGCTAAGGAGTTACTTTGAACTCTTTTGTTTATAAAATGATTTATAGTTCTCTGCCAAGCAATCACTTTACATGTTCCTTCAGCTTTCCCTGCCCTAGCTTGGCTAAAATCTAGAAGCAAACAAACGAAAAAGTCCACTAGCATCTTAATAGGCAAATACATTTAACTGCCCTCTTTTTCTATATGCGTGGTTCCAGGAAGGTTTGAAAATGGAAAATCTAAAGCTTGCTTATTTTCATTTATCTTATAAAGGTCCTCCCTTTACTCCAATGACTTATCACATTATACCAGTGATTTCTGATAAAGTCCCCAACATTTTTTCCTTGATTAATTTATTTTGATGACTGTACTATTCTCTGTTGGAACAAATTGGGGTGATTGTACCATTCTTTATATTGTATGTACTACATACACCTTTGCAGTGCAGTTAAATACATGAGACTTCATTTTGTTCCTTACCAAGTCAATGAAAATTCAGCACACGTTGGGCTACACCCACCGTGCAGAAAACTGCTAAAGAACTGTTCTCAGGTCAGTATGGTTGGAGAGCTACCCTTGGAATATGGTTACATCCAAACTGCCAACTCTTTTTTCTTCTGTCGCACTCTGGATGCAAATCCAATTATTTGATCATCTCCTGGTCATCTTTGACTTTACTACAAAAATTACTTCTATAATTGGTCTCTTTAGAGCAGTAGAAAGTCCATGTCATGCTAAATACTGGGATCAAGAGTGTGAATGCCTTCCTCAGATTTACAGGCAGTATTACTCCACTGTAACATTTCAATACCATCAATCAAACTCCTACACATCTCTTCCTGAGGTGTGAGTTTACCATTCATAGAATCATAGAATCATTACAGTTGGAAAAGACGTCTAAGATGATCAAGTCCAATCCTTAACCCAGCATGACCAGGTCCACTGCTAAACCATGTCCATGTTTTACTAATGGGCTTCTGGCCCCTGCAATATTTCTTCCTGAATGTGGCTTCCTCACTCTGTTTCCATGGATGGAGGCAACAACAGGACAAGAAGTTTTCACACTCGTGGTGCTTACAAGGATATAGCATCTCTACACACCTCAATAACCTTGTTATGCCAAGGATTCCTTCTGTGTCAAAAAAGCACCATCCTCAAGCAGAGTTTCTGTGCTCTCTGTCAATCTCTCCATAAGATAAAAGTACCAGCAGTGGCACCCACTAAAAGTCAGGAATAAGAGTACGCTTTACAACCAGGCTTGGAGAGGAAAGATTGAAGAAGGACTCATCCCAAGTTTTCCGGTAATTTGTTTAATGAAAATATGCTTTTTAATTTTGTACTAGGCGAACCAGGAGTTCCTGGCTTTCCAGGAAAAGATGGTGCCAATGGAGAGAAAGGTGAACAAGGTCAGAGAAGAAGTGTTTCAATTTATTATTTGTCTATCAACTGCTGCCCTTTTGTTTGTGAATACTGGACGTGCTATACATTCTAGCTGTAGCAAAAGTACCATAAAGGTTAAAAACCCCTTTTTCCTGAAGTAGTAGAGGCTGCACACATATGCTGACAATACAAGAGGAATTTGCCACCTCAAATTATCCCACTGCCTCTGATACCCCACAACTTGTTCACTCAGCCTGTTATCCTACCTTTCCCATCTCTGATCCTGCCTTTCCCATCTCTGATCCTTTTGTCAGCTGCTAAGCAAGACATTGCATCTGCAGCTACCTCAGGAAAGTGAGGATCCTGTAGCTACCTATGAAACTTCACGGAAAGGGACTTTTAAAACAAATTGTAGAAGACACAAGTTATACACCTAAAAATACCATATATCCTGTATACTTCATGCATAAGTAGGGACTTGTTATCCGAAGAGTGACTGTGCAGACAATGTGTATATCCAACAGCAACTTGCCAATGACGGGGTCCAGGTTCTCCAGAATCCTGAAGGTGACCCTGAGAAATACCATATGGTTGCATGGAAGTAATTACAAGCTGCCCTACATCCCTCAGACTTTTCTCCTGTCTATTAGAAACATCCCTTGAAGGAGCGTAAGACATGAGGCCAGAAATGTTGTTTAAAATGCTAAAGCTACTTTCTTCTCTTGTGTCCTTGTCCTGATGTACCAATGCTGCTTTTCCCAGAGGCTCACTATACAATGTCATCTGTTTTCAGTTCACTGATTCTGTTAAATACTCTCACTTGTAAATTGAGAACAGTCAACTGTAGAAAGAGCATTATTCCAAACATAAGAAGCCAGAGGCCCTATTGCAGAAATTATCATGTTCTTTTTCTGATTGATTGAGCGTGTGTTCTTTCTGGTATCTTTTGTCTATCAACTGCTATCATCCCCTTCACATCATGGGATTCTTCACTTTCAAAGCCTTGTGCAGCAATCAGAGGATTTTCAAAGCCTTTGAACTCCAGACCAGGAGTGGATAAAGGATAAATGGAGCATATGGTGACAAATAACTAGGACAAAAAGCCTTTAGTTGTGCTGCAGTAGCAATCTAGGTAACCCAAGCAAAGTTCCATCACATAGAAATTACAGAAAACACATGGCAAGCAAATTCTGGGTGTTGTCAAAAAACCTCCTTCCTCTGATCAAATTGTGAACCATGTCACCTATTTTGTATACCAAAGGCTGAAAACAAATGTCTGGACAGATGCTGCTTGTGTCTGAGATGATGTGAGCTGTCATCATCCTGTAGAAAGCTCTCCTTTCTTTGAGTTTATTCTTGCTGCTGTCAGCAAGAGCACCTGTTTTCTAACACAATAAGGGGTTCTTTATCTTTAGGTATTATGTTTATCCTGCACTTAAATGTATGAGAAATTGTGTGTAGAGTGAGCACAGTATATACAGTACTGACACACACCTGCACATATATTTCCTTATGCTGAAACTCAATTTGTGCCCTATTAATCCAGTGGAAGACCACGAGAAACTAACCTTTTTTTTTTTTTTTCCCCTCTCTTTTTTTCTCCTTCCTTTAGGAGCCAATGGGACTGTTGAAGAGAAGGGGAACAAAGGAGATAAAGGAGAAAGAGGACGACCTGGCAAACTGGGGCCAAAAGGAGTTATAGGGTCAGTGGGTTACAAAGGTCAGAAGGGAGAGCTGGGACTGCAAGGACAAAAGGGGTTAAAAGGAGACATTGGACCCATTGGTCCAAAAGGGTCAAAGGGTGAAGTTGGCCATCCTGGAAGAGTTGGTTTCCCAGGGCCAATTGGCCCAACTGGTAATCCAGGTCCTAAAGGTAATATTGGAGATGTAGGGCCACAGGGTAATCCAGGAGTTCAGGGGGAAAGAGGCTTGAAAGGAGACAGAGGAGAAAAGGGGAATGTAGGTGCCCCAGGAGTCCTGCCAAGGAGTGCTTTCAGTGTTGGCCTTACAGTTGCTACCAAATTTCCTCCTCCAAATCGCCCAATCAAGTTTGACAAGGTGCTGTATAATGGTCTCAACGACTACAACCCAGTTACTGGCAAATTCACCTGCAAATACCCTGGTGTTTACTATTTCACCTACCACATCACTGTCTACTCAAGGAACGTCCGAGTAGCTCTAGTTAAGAACGGCATCAAGATGCTGCACACTGTGGACAGGTACCAGAGTGGAGAGGACCAGGCCTCAGGAGCTGCCATCCTGGAGCTGCAGGGAGGAGACGAGGTGTGGCTGCAGGCTCACCAAGGGGAGACTTTCAATGGGCTGTTTGCAGACGCTGATGATGATACCACCTTCTCTGGGTTTCTCCTGTTCAGCACCTCTGACCCGCTGGAGCCACTCTCATTGCCCACCATATAACTTCATGCCATCCGTGAATGCTGTATATCTGTGTCCCTTAGCCCTCCCTAATAAAGTTGTTATCTGCTGAACAATTTCTGTTGGATTCAACAGAAAACAGACAGTTGTTTTCAGAAAAAGCTTCTGTGCAAAAGAGGACAACTCTAACTCTTCTGAATCAACACATTAGTGGTTTGGTGACTTACTGTAGGAATGCACAGGGGTGCATTCACAAGTCCTGAAGGACAAATGTTTTTCAAAAAAGTGGGACAAAATGAAAGATAAAAATTCTGGAATTATAACATGTGAGTCCCTGCCATCTTGTATAAACATGAAGCAGCAGCTACTTCTAAGCCAGTTTATTTCTTCAAAGGTGGCATATGTAGGTGAGCTTGAAATTTGGTTAGTTTGCATCCAACCATTTCAAAATAATTTTTAAACTTGGAATTAGTGCAGTTTGATACCTTCACAGGGATCAAAGAGCAAAGCACCATGCTGCTAGAGGCCAGGATACCTTCACAGGTATCAAACAGGTGCCACTTGCTTGTTCTATGGCACAAGCAAGTTTTTTCGTAGCTGGGTGGATTTTATAGCTTTTAAATATGGTTCTTTGCTTCCCATGTAGCCAAAGGTCTGAAATGGAGTGAAATAGAGGGATAGGAGGAAGTGCCCTGTGGATTCTTCGATGTAGGCAGATATTAAAGGCAATTGCAAAAATACAACATAATACTGCTGTACTTCAGAATTAGCCAGGGCAACAAATGAAAGATAATATTTAATCAACACTGAAGTAGTCATACCAGAGAACTGATTGAGAGATATTTCCTTGATGTGCCATAAAAGATTAATTTCTGTGATTTTTTTCAGAATTTTCTCTCTCCCCTCCTGCTTCTAAAACTCAAAAACATAACAACAAATGTTATACGTTTCATCCACTTCCCTTAGTAGAGAATAAAGCAGAGATGCCAATGAAGATGGGTCAACACCAAGAAATTCAGTGCAAATGCAGGTTGGAGCATGAGGCCTGGCTTCCCATCACCCCTCAGGATATTGGGGAGACAAGGGAATGTGGGCATATTTTCACAATTGTTGAACCCTCAGTATGGATCACAGAGTCCAAATGAAAATGGCACAATAGGTTTCTTCAGGAAGAACAGCTGCACTTCTCATGTCAAGTAAATGACTGCAAGGGAGATACAAAGGCAGAGGAAAGGGTTATGTGAATTTTTCACCAGGAGGAGGTTTTTTCTCCTGTAAGCCATCGCCGTTAAGTTTGTCACAGAAACAACTAGGGCAAGAAACGCTTTAAAATGGACTTAGGTTTAACTGGAGGACGTGTAGGACAGATATCAGAGTTCAAGAAGCGTTTAGATGATACTCTGAGGCACGTGCTGTCACTGTTGGGGATGACCCTGTGCAGGGCCCAGGGCTGGACTCGATGCTCCCTGTGGGTCACTTCCAGCTCGGCATATTCTGTGATTCTGTGATCAGCCGGTAGAGGCTCCAGCGCTGCCGGAGGGGGAGTAGGTGACCGGGACAGCCGGGGGAAGCGGAAGGATCGCGAGTACGAAAGGAGCAGGCCCACGACAGCCCGGGGAACACGGAACAACGCGAGCAGCGAATCCAACGGAGGGGGTGGGCTGAGGGGCGGTGAGATCAGGGAGCTCCGCCCCGCTCCGCGTTGTGCCGCCGCTCCGCCTCCTGCTCCGGCCCCGCCTCCCGGCCAGGACGCTCGGAGGTCGCGGTCGCGCCGTGAGCGGACAGTGTTGGTGTCGGTGTCGGTGTCGGTGTGCTCCGCTCCGCTCCACGGCGCTCCACCATGCTGGGCGGCTGCCGGCGGGCGCTGCCCGCGGCGCTGGGCCGGGCGCTGCGGGGCCGGGCGGCGGGGCCGGGCCGCAGGGCCGTCAGCACCAGCTGGTGCCCCGTGGGCAGCGCCTTCGACGCGAAGCAGCAGCGGCAGCAGGCGCTGCGCGGCGGCGCGGCGGGCAGGGAGACGGTGAGCGGCGGGAGGGAAGGGCCGGGCAGGAGGCGGCCCTGGCCGCTGGCGGCATGGTGCTTTGCTCTGCTTATCGCAACTCTTTTAAGGGATTTTTTTTTTTTCAGGGTAGTTTTCTTTTTTTCTCCTGTGGTTTTTTTGTTTGTTTGTTTTGTTTTTTTAATATGCAATTTTTACTTGGTTCAGTTTATTTTGGTTCTATTGAACCGATAACTTCTGGCTTTTGGACGCAGAAGAGTTTGACAGTCATGGTCTCGTGTATGGAAAGACTTGCTTTGAGCCTCAGTAGCGCCCATATGTGCATACAGAGATACTACCCCAACCATTGCCCCTTCCACTCCCAGCTCCCACCTGGCTGTGCCTTCGTTCCTCTGTCAGTGTCGTGCCATACCCTCAGGCAGCGCTTTGGGATCTGTCACGCTGCCGACATCCTTTTACCTGGACATCTTTCTTGACATCTTTCCTGTGGCAAAAAAAAAAAAAAAAAAAGGCATTTGATTGCTGGGTTGGTGACACTTGGGTTTTCTGGTATGTTTCCTTTTGGGGTGAGTCAGGTGCGTTTGTTAATGAGTGTCCTGGAATCAACAGGCTGGCTCCTGGACAGAGTAAGATGGCACAGCGCATGCAGAATAGTTATACCTGTAAAATCCAGGTGTTTGCCTGCTGACTCAGCTACTCTTGTCATGGTGCCCAGGCTAGTGAAGCTGTTGAACTCTGGGGTATAGTGAGGACAAATCTAACCTCTGTTTATAATCCAACACTTGTTTGGGAAACTTATCTATTGGTTCTCCTGCCTCTGCGAGCATACTGGTGTAAGCTTTACTTCAGGAAATAATGCAGTTACATATTGTCCATTTGGCTGGCCTGGGTAGCGAGTTCTGGATGATTCACTTGACCCACAGTAATTTGGGAATAGAGATAAGTATTTCAGACTTACAAAGAGGCTGTGACAAGTAGGACGTAAATGCTGAGGCCAAGCAAAGAGAATAAGGCTGCATCTATGCAGCCAGTGCCATTAAAGAACATAGAGAACTGCACCAGGCTTCATTTTTTTGGTAATTTTTCAATTTTTATGTCAAACTTGGTATCATATGGAAGAGGAGCTCTATGGCTGATTTATTTCTAAGAGGAGATACCTCCTGGTCACCAAGGACTACACATGCAGGAAGAACTGTCTTGGGAGGGTGAATGATGATGTAGGGCAGCAGGAAGGCCAGGAGCTCTCTGGGATATTGCAGAATACTGCAACCCTTGCTTGGGGATCTGAGTGAAGTCTCGAGTCTCTTGTACAACAAGCATTATTGAAGAGTGGTATGATAGAAGTATATTTATGTCTAAGTGCATGTGTATACATATAAAAATATCTGTTTCAGTGTTTGTTTTGGTCCAGTTCCTGTTCCCAAATAATAAATTAAAACATAGGAAGTGTGAGGAAAGGATTTCTGTCTTCAGGAAAAAAAGAAGGCAGTTTTAGCAGCAGTGACAGAAAGAAAACAAAGCAACTCAGAATGTCCCAGATACTTACTTTAAGAGATGCTTTTACTTCATTCAGAATATATATTTTTACACACAAGCTGTCAATTTGTAGTTTTTTATGTTTTGTTTGGATAAATACTTGCAAGCTATATGCAAACCTGCAGCTGATTGCTGTAACACGAAGAGTTTGCAGAAGGTGCATTGTAAAGTGACTGGCTTGCAGATCTGCAAATCCAGATTGTGATTTTAGATACTGAGGTTAAATTTGGGAAGGGATAGATGTGCGAACTGATGTGCCTTTCACTGTTAGATGCTGTAGTTAGCAGGTAAGGAGATGCTCATGTTGCAGCTGGACAGTTGCAAAGGGAGTATACTGCTTGAAGAGGTGCTATATTAATTTAAATGAAATTAGGGAATTATTAGGAAAAGGTTTTTCACCCAGGAGTTCATTTGCCACTGGAAAAGACTCCCCAGGGAAGTGGTCACAGCACCAAACCTGCCAGAGTTCTAGAAGTGTTTGGACAGTGCTCTCAGGCACATGGTGTGATTCTTGGGCCTGTCCTGTGCAGGGCCAGGAGTTGGACTTCAATGATTCTTGTGATTCCCTTGCAAATCAGGAGATTCTATGATTCTATGAAATCTTTTTACTGTCTGTATTGTGGAACTTTTCTCTTGCAGCCAGTGTTAGTAATTTTGTTTGATCAGCAGTAGGAGCTTTGTAATTCTCTTCCACTGCTGTCTGTGTCTACCTTGCCCTGTGGGACAGGGCCAGGCTTGGCAGGAACTTCAGGAATAAAACTGTTCATACCAGTCAAATTTTGGGGGTTGCTGATTATTCCTTTGAGATTTGGTTCCACTGTTTGAGGCTCGTTTAATGAGCCCAAAACAACTGTCCTACATGCCTGCAATCCATTGATATCTAGTGCTGTCTGGCCAACTCATTCACTGTTTTGACACTCCTACTTAGTTGTCATATTCCTTAATAAGTCTCTTTTGCGTCAAAGGAGTGATTTTCCCTCATTTTCAAATCTAAATGGACTTCTTGTGTTTTGTTTGGTGCCCATGCTTTGGAAGCAAAATAAATGCTTTGACAAAAGGTTGGCATAGGAGTTTATGGTGTGGAAGAGAAGACTTTGTGAGGATTTGATGTCAAACTCTTAAGGTTTGCTGAGAACAATACTGGCTAAAAAAACCTCAGTGAGGTTTGCTTTGGGAAATGTACACATTTTCACATCATACCAGTGTCTGTGACTGGTTTTGTGACTATTCTGTTTACAGTGACACTTGTGTAGGAATGTTTTAGTGAGGTGTTACAATATGCCAGCTAGGGTGATTTTGATAAAATTCCATAGTGAGAACTCAATCCTGAAACAAAGATGCAGAAATTGAGGAGGGTAACAGTGACGTGCTTTCATTGTGTTCTACATTGCAGGGTCTGTTTGGTGTTCCAGAACTGAGCTGTCCAGAAGGATTTCAAGAAGCACAAGACAAAGCATTGCAAGAGTCAGAACAGCTAGTCCAGAAGGCATGTTCAACACCACCTGGGCCAGAGACTGTAAGGATCTTTGATCAGCTTTCAGATAGCTTGTGCAGAGTAGCAGACTTGGTAAGTTCTTTTTTTTATTATTACATAAAGTAAAAATTAATCCTTTTAAACTGACTGAGCTTACACCAGGGTGT